ATCTTTATTTCATAGGTAAGCATTATTACACTTGAAATCGTCACAATAGTTAAACTCTACTGCTCATTCGTAAGGCAGATTCCCCTGAGAAGAATGAGCAAGAAACTCTAGGGGTTGCTCTTTGTAAATAACATTTACAATATTTTTTTTTATTTGAAACATCAGAGATCGAGACTACCTCCATGAGCTAAACGGGTTACTACCACGGATTTATGTCATCCAAGTACGCAGAAGTTGTATAATAACCTTTAGTATAAAGTTTTTGTTTCACTATACTTTTAAACCTCGTGAAAGGCAAATTTTGTATATAAACCGGAATCTTGTTATAGAAGCGTATACATTGCCCCTTAAATGATTTTTTGACTTTGTGAAGACGACTATCAAGAAAAGCTAGTTTATTTCTATTCCTCGTATTAATGTTATGTCTGTCACTATTTTTCATAAATAAATTACTATTCCTTTTAACATAAATTGCATTTTCATAAATGTACTGTGAGGCTAGTGTAAGAATGTTAATTTCCTTAAACTTATCTCTCAAAGATACTTTGGGGCCCAGATTGTAAATTGCCCTAACTGCACGTTTCTGCAGGACAAAGATTCTATTGATATCGGCGGCATTACCCCAAAGCAAAATGCCGTATGTCATTAGACTGTGAAAGTAGCTGAAGTAAACCAATCTAGCGGTTTCGACGTCTGAAAGTTTCCTTATTTCTTTAATCGCGTACACTGCAAAGCCGAGCCGTTTTGATAACTTACTTATATGGGGACCCCATTGCAATTTAGCATCTAACGTTATACCTAGAAATACAACTGTATCCACAAGATTCAATTTTTCGTTTCTAACTACAATGTTTGTAACCGTCTCTCTAACATTGGGTAATGTAAATTTCACACAATTTGTTTTTTTCTCATTAAGAAGTAGGTTATTAACAGCAAACCAATCAACTACTTTAGATATAGCATTGTTCACATCGTCGTAGGAACATTGGTGCCTTTTAACTTTAAATAATAAGGAAGTATCATCAGCAAACAATACTATCTCATGTTTTATACCCTCCAGAAGGCTAGGTAAGTCATTAATATAAAATAAAAATAAAAATGGGCCTAGAAGTGAACCTTGAGGGACACCCATGCTAATTGCAGATCCTGACGATCTCGTACCGTTAACATCGACCCTCTGTACCCTACCACGTAAATACGAATTTAGAAGGTCGAGATCACGTCCCGCCACACCATAATGGCGAAGTTTCCTGACCAGTTTATCATGGTGCATACAATCAAAAGCTTTGGAAAGGTCACAGAATACACCAATAGCGTCCTGTGAGACTTCCCATGCATCAAATATATGATTAATCAACTCGACACCAGCATCGGTTGTAGAGCGACCTCGAGTGAAACAAAATTGTTTAGGAGACATTAAGTTATTACTATAAAAATGTGCACACATCTGATTTAGAATAATTTTTTCAAATATTTTACTGAGAGTTGGTAGTATTGATATAGGTCTGAAATTGGTGGGGTCAGAAATACTACCAGATTTGAAAAGTGGAATAACTTTACTTTGCTTCATGAGGTCGGGAAAGACACCATCATCAACACATTTATTAAAGACACAGGCTAAATAAGGCGCAATACAATCAACTATAGAACTAATTACTCTGACTGAAAGACCATCAAGATCAGCAGTATTTTTTATGTTTATAGACTTAAAGGCTTTAAAAATATCGTTTGGCTTTAACAATAACCTACGTATGAGTAGAGTGTTGGGTTCAGCTGAGTCTCGAAGTTTTTCCATGAAAAATATTGGCTTTCTGATACGCAAGCATAGAGTCACTTTAAAGCCTCATCAATATGGACACTCAGATATATTATTGGTTTTTGAAAGATTAGTAGTCCGATCCAGTGACGATAAGAACTGTGTCTATGATATGGTTTTGCAGTGGGACATATTGGTAGCAGATATAGTTTGTTGATGTAAATTTTAAACAAGGTGGGCCTCATAATGTTTTCCTGGGCAACACCAAAGGCTATCGGCAGCTCCTTACTAATACAGTAGTCAATTTTAAGAGTGTGGTTAGTCAGATAGCTCGCAAACAGTTTTAGTGAGAGTTCTGATCTAAATAGCCTGAAGTTTTCGCAGCAATAATATGGGAATTGACAATATCGAAGGCTTTAGGGAGATCAAGAAATATTCCTACGCATTTTGTTTTAAGCTAACGTAGCTTCATACACGAGCTAAGCTACGTAAGTTCTTTATACTTTGGTTCACACCGTGAACTAAGCTAACCGACCTAACTAAACTAACCCAATGATCTTGCCATGTAAAATAAGTCGCCCTTCTGCTGCCCTTCACCGACACACGTATAGTCATTACTTACTACGTATTGTCTTAGCTTATCTTGGCATGCAACTACGTGAGCTAATTTAGCTTCGTTCACGGTGTAGCCTGCGCTTTATTAAGACATTCAACTATGTGATTGGTAAGGCTTAGGGTCCGTGATGTTAAACTCGCCGATTTGTACCAGCAAGCTCGCGCCACGGGCGAGTCCGGACGTTTAGCATTGCATTTTCGGTGGACAGTCCTGTCCAAGTTGGTTCGTATCCAAGTTGAATCGGAGGTAAGTCAATAAAACACAGTTTGAAATAAAAATACATATATTAATTACATCAATATTAAATTACAGCCAACATAACTATGTAGGTTACAATAATAATAAAAATATACCTATATAATTTCCATTGAAACAAATAAATTAAATAATAAAAACAAAGATTTTTTCCTTACATAATTTTTTTGATTAAACCTAAGTCTAAAAATCATTGACTATAAGAAACTTGCAACTGCGGCATACAAGGTAACATTCTCAAAAAAAAAAAGATCTACAAGCAAAATGAGCCTATAGATAAGTAGGTTTTTTTACTCATAGTCTACAATTAATAATAAGTTCATAATGTCAATGGAGACTGTGCAATGATATTTCAAATCATAGCATTTAGAAGTCAAGACGCGATTGAATCCGACGTAGAGCCCATTTTTGCTGGTTAATTATTATTAGGCTAGATTAGATAATGAAGACTCAAACTCTGAATAATTAACCAGTATTTTATGAGCTGTCAAAGTCTGCACAGATTCCATCGTCATCTAGTTAACCTAAATAGAGGATGGGAATACACATTACGGAATAAAAGATTTTCAGCTAAATTTTTGGCATCAAGCAATGGAAAAGAGTAGAATATAAACTTATAAATAGACAAGCTTTGGAATAGATTTCTGGTGAGATTGTCCTAAACGCCGCGTTAACTTTCAGGTGAATTATTTTACACTTTTTAAAGTATTATACACATTTTTAAAAACTCCGAGGAGCAAATTTGTGAATGCTAATAATTAATTGACCATTCCTAATCAAAACTCAATTTTCGAATGTTCTCGATTAAGGCGACATTTTCATTCACTTACGTTTAATAATCCCTAACTTTAATACATTGTCACCCATTTGTAATTTCATTCGGAAACTTGGCATAAATGCTAAGTTATTGTTCTCTTTTCTCAATCTTAGAGTAGGTAGAAGCGGTCGTTCAGTTAAACCGCTAGTATTTATTTAGCGTAAATAATAATCCGCTTAACACTATAAAATGAACCACTACAATGAATTTACTGTAATTTTAACGAAGAAAAATCCCACCAGATAGAATAAGAATAAATTTTTGTAAGATCTACAACAAAATGGAACATTTCCAACAAAAATAAAACATCAACCAAAAGAGGGATAACTTATAACAAAGCTTAGTTTAGTTACACTTATCCTCAAAAGTTGTGCAATATGTTTCGAAAAAAAATAGAACAGAAATAGATGATGCAAACAGATGTACAAAATGTTACATGTAAATGCCCTTTTTAATAAAGTTCCGCGCGGGATTCGTAACGTTAATAAAATCTTTTATTTACTTCGCGCTACTTAAAAATGTCACTAATGATATTTTTAAATCTATATATTTTCACTTTTTTTGTTGATTTATGTACAACTATGCACTAAATTTATGATAAGTTTTACTGTTCCCTTGAGTTTATTTATAATAATCGCCGTGATTCAAAATAAATTCAGAAAACAAATCAATGTTCACGTTGATGCTATTTCACTTTCATAATCAGTCTTTGACAAATAAATGATCGAAAGACCGAAATGCATTACAAAAATCAATTCCTTTCGAGGCAGAGCACAGAGTTTATACTTTGTTATCTAAATATACCCATTAATTTTTAAAGTTTCGAAATGCTGATTTTAGGTACAAAATTTTACTCCAAAATTCAATAGGTACTTTTGAGTTACAATTTTCGCACCTATTTAGGGCAGACGAGTAAGGCTTATCTAAACAAAATTAACCTTATTAAAAATGTTATGGGACGCAACTCAATCATAATTTCAAGTATGGGATGTAGAGCAACGCAAAACAAAAATAGTGACGTCGTATATGCCGAACTACAATAGGTCTAAAGCAAACGACAATCTTGTACAAGACATTCATTATAATGAACAATAATTTAATATAGACTCCACTCGGATAACAACATAACAATTAATTAAACATAATGATCACTACTTTAAATGCTTTTTCCTTCCATATAGTCAATATAAAACTTAATGTCCAAGCATTCAAGATCTCTGCACACACTTCGATTGTTTTTTCTACCAGAAAGATAATAGCACGCTAGTGGGATAGACCCCAAAGCCGACAGAATATCTAATATAATACAAATAATAATTATGCATCATGATTTCTTACAACTACTTACACATAAAAGGCATCCTTCATATTCATCATCAAAATAAGTGAATAGCAAATCACTTCAAAAATACAAGACACATATTCTACGACACGGTACAAGCAAAATAACGTTTGTTGGCGACTACGAAACACAATTATTATTTTCACATAAATTGGCCATATGGCCACACTACTTGCGCCCTTAACGCGGGAACTTTGTACTAAGTTTGGGCTGGGGAGACTACAATATAATAGTAATCCTTCAGAAGTGTCCCGAGGAACAATCAATACCTTTCACCGAGTTAAGAAGAGACATAAAAATTCGTAATGTAGCTTTGGTGTTAATTCCTTTTTAACTTACAAAATATTAATACGTGTTCTTCGTAGACTCGGGGGTTACTAACATCCAAATATGTTGTTAAAAGTTGTTCATTTGTTAGGGACTTGTATCTTCTTGGATCTGAAGTCGTAAATCTTGCGGCAGAAGAGAACGAGCTCGGGGGACACGCCGGGGGGTAATTTGGAGTCATTCGGAGCGACGGCCGGGGTGATCTCGCTTGGCGGTAACGGTGGGACGATCGATGGAGTGATTGTAACGCCCTCTTCTTGCGCTTTTAGCCGTTTCCTGTAACTGTTAGAAAAGCAGAACATTACTTACAGGATATATAAAACACCGGATCCTTAATCTTTAGAGGAGACACGAGTCCAATAGAGGGAAATAGGTATACCGGATTGATACAGCAGCTAATTCGCAATGAAACCGTAGATTATAAAGATGCGGTATCTTTATAATCTATCTCCATTGCTAATTATTTTACTGTTCTGTGTCTCTGTGTTAAGTCATGCGTGGCATAAAATAAAGACTATTATTGTTTGGTAAAGATAGAAAACCGGTTTTCAAGATCTTTATTAGTTTTTTTTTATAAATGTGATAATACATAATAATTAACATTATAATGTACAGTATGCGTTTTGTTGAATTGGACTTACCGGCAGTATTCATTGAAAGTGAGCACGTGGCATTTATCCTCGATGCAGGCGACGGAATTAGCGTCCCGGTGTCTTGAGGCGAAGACCTCATCGGGTGCGTCAGCTGGCTCGCGCCCGCGTTCTGTGTGCTCCGGCCGGTAGTACCATACTAGAGATACCATCATTTCGCCTAGAAACAGAACATGACAAGTATTTTATGGCTATAATCGATAAAAAAGGCCTACTTAACTTACGTTCAAATTGTTTACTACTTTTCATTCCCGAAATCCCATATATTTACAGTTAGATTAGACCTCCAGTTAGGACGGTCAACTCTCTAAACGAACGTGTCGACTGTTGATCCGGCGAATATTTACGCATTTCAATAATGATTTTTAGAAGACCACATCGTTTCATCTGTTACGCATTTTAGAAAGCGATGACGACATCGTACATTTTTACATAAAATGCAGTTGTAGGCTTACCGTCTTCAGGATTCTCCCATAGACTAGCGATCCTGGCTACAAACGGCTGTGCTCTGGCTGTGGAGGCCCTGAGCAGCACGCAGTCACCCCGGCCTACGCTGTCACCACTCTCGTGCGTCATACGGGGCCAGCATCGCGCTGTGCGATCCAGGCGGGAATCGTTCTGTGGAAGAATTTATTGTAACAATTAAAGGGATACGTAAATTGTTAATATTAAATAAATAAGTAAAAGTACTAGGAAGTGAAATATATGAAAACAATTGATGCCCCTGATAGTAATAAAACTGAAGTACTTCTGACATAAGATAAAGTTGCGAAACGTACATGCGTCATAAAACCAAATACTCGCTATTATGTACCTCCATAAAATAAACATATGACTCACATTTCTACTTACATTGAGGTAGACTTTCGAGATATAATTTTCTCCGTCCCATTTCCATCCGTTGCTCCATCGTGGCGGGGCGCGAGGCTCATAGGAGGGTGGAGCGAGAGGAGCCAACGTCCGCCGCACCCGTCGCGTCCCTGCACCGCTACGTCGTCGCCTCGCGCGCCGTCCTACGTGAGGTCCCGGCGACGAAGCGCAAGCATCTTCAATCACCATAGTAGCTTCATCCGTTTTTATTGCTGGCTTCTTAGACACTAACAATTTTACCACTTTCTCTACATTTTTTGCCTTCATTTCACCATTTGCTAGCTTGCATCTTTTCGGCAATGTCTTTTCGGGCATTGCCAGTTCAGATGGTACGTCAGTAATTCGTTCAATCGATTCCCTCGTAGGCTCTTTGTCCTCTGGTACTGGAACGGAATCGGCATCAGTAATATGTTTCTTTGACACCAGCAGTTTGGCTACCCTTTCTATGCTTTTAGCTTTTAATTCTCCATTGGCTTTAGGTAATTTTATTGCTTTCTCAGAAACTTTGTCTAGAATTTCCTCTACAATTTCTTTTTTGTCACTTGTGTCATCACCACTCGCAATTTCATCAGTCTTAATAACAGGTTTCTTTGACACGAGAAGCTTGGCCACCTTTTCAATGCTTTTCTTAAGTTTGGTCTTGTTGGTTGACAATTTGCAGCGTTTTGCTTTATTTATTTGCGTATCTGATGGTTTGTTTTCAACAGATTCTATAGTTTCCAAGGGCTTATCTAATGTAATGTGAGATTCATCTGCAGGCTTTACTTTCACTTCATCCTTTTTACCCGCTTTAGGCTTGGATTTAAAAACCTTTAAGGATTTTAATGCGTCCTCGACCGCAGCATTATTTTTAATATCACTATCACTAATAAGATCTTCACCACTGTCTTTAACAAACTCACCTTTGTCTTTAACGGTAGGGACCGACTTTAATTCACTGTCTTTACACATTATTTTATCACTTTTCGATTTATATATATCACTGATCAGCGCGAAATCTTCGTTTGTTTTCAATTTATCGGTGGGTGGTTTTAATACTGATTTCGAACTGTGCGTTATTTTAGAATCAATTTTTTCTAATTTGCACGCATGTTTATATGACAATTTTTTTTCTATCAATTGACTTACTGCTGCAATGGTGTTAGACCGCACACCTGTAACTGGTGGATTGCTCTCTACAATATTGTTGTTAATATTCAAAGTTTTCTTAGATGTAGTAGAGATATTCTCGTCAGGAGATGGGAATAGTTCTGCTGGATTCATTTGTTTTGCGCCGGCTCGGTCGATGCTATTCTTTCGAATTAGGTTGTCTAGTAAAAGCGCACTCTTGATCTTGGGTTTCATAGAAGCAGGGTCCTCTGCTAGAATGGCTAGGGATTTGTGTCCTTTCTCATCAGGCGCATCCATTAACATGCGTTTAGCCTTGGGTGTATTTGGGGTACTGTCAGACTTCCTTTTGACTGTTCTCTTATCGCTCGGAGTTTTCGGTGTTCTTTTAGTTTGAGGTGATCTCTTCTTGGTCTCTTTCGTAACAGTCTCAACTCGCATAAGGCTAATTTGATCAATTGACACTTTTCTGCGTTTTTGTAGCTTGACATGTTCACCAATCCCATTAGTTTTGCAGCTGTCTTCAAGTTGAGTGTCTTTCATGTCTATTTCTAGTTTTGGTTTGGAATATCTCCGTTTAACTTGTTTAGCAGCATCTGTGCTAGTAGCTGTAGCATTTTCAGAAACAGTTGTTGTGCTATTGTGTTCTCTAAGTGCTAGTGCTTCTGGTTTTCGAGACGCTGCACATGTTGGACCCTCGTTTTCTTTCTTGACATCAACTAAAGGTGTTGAACGTTCGTCCGAAGAAGACAAATCTATTGGCGCGCAAGTAGGAGGTGATATTGCCATTACATCATCATCTGCATCGCTGTGATGGGCAGGTGGTGGTTGAGGGATTGACAGTAACAGTCCAGTGTCATCTCCCACCAGGGATCGCCTCGCCATTGCTTTACCAAGACGAGCTCTTCGGGGCGCTACTGTCGGTGGTTGCGGAGCGCAAGCTCCAGCGGAGCCACGGGCGGGTGACGGAGGGCCTAAAGCCTCAACCGGGCCGGGAATGTCACCCGCCAGACGTAGGTTTTCCCGCACATCGTAAAGTTCACGTTTAGGAGAAGCGCCTCCAATTGCTGGTAAAGGACAAGGATGAGGCGCGTCCGCTGCTGCTGGTGGTTCTTGTTCTAGCGGTGGATCCTGGAAATATAAACCAGTTTATTAGGAGATGTGAAACAATTTGAATCTCTATACTTGTACATACATATCTTGCAAGCTTTCTACGTACTTTCCCGCTACCGTGTGTATCTGCAACGGTGTCCAGTGCGCACGCTCGCACCTTCGCTCTGAAGGCGCCCCCGGGCGGCGCTATTGCTGAAGTTATGTCGGCTGGGCCGCCACCGGTCGGGGGTTTACCAGTAGCCGGCCCAATAAGGACGTTTTTTGGAAACGGATTTAAAGGGCAGGGGCATCCGCGAAATTCTGAAAATAGGCAAGCAGAAATTTTATAAACAATTTCTACAAAGTGAAACATAATAAGTACGGGTATGTTGGGATAGGTAATGAATGCTCACCATATGGTATCCTTTGAGGCGAATGCTGATAACAATTGCCGTAATATTGTGGTGGAGGATACGGCTCGCTGCCAACGCCTACCATCTAAAACAAATGCGTGCTTTAAATGATGATATCACTATGGTGTGAATCGTTACAACATACAGTATAGTGAAGTTCGTTTTCAAAGGTCAAAAATAGTGTCACCAAATGTAATCATGAAATCGTTAGCTTAAAATTAATGCTATTCAATTAATCTTGCTTCAAATAAAACACAAATTTAACCATTGATATAATAGGTACCTAAATTAACAAGTTACTTTATTTACCGGTGCATCGGGCTGTGGCGGCATGTGGTATGGTCCCGGAGGTCTGTAATACCGTCCGTAGCATAGGTCCGCGGGGTAATATGACGGCGGCCCGTACTGCTGTAGCACCTAGAACAATTTATAGATAAAACACTACAGAAGGAGGAACATTTATTTAAATAAACTAACGCGACCTAAATGCTAATTGAAACAAAATGTTGCTTTCCAATGTATAATTAATTAAATTTAATTAAATTAAAACAAAGTTTTATCCAGTTCCACAGAAAACAGAGTTTGAGAGCATTGGCGGCGATCCAAAATGTATAGTCGGTATCATTTGATGACAGACGAATGCTTTACGTAAACACCGTTTGTACAATGGACGTATGATATTATGGCACTATTAATTAAGTACAAAGAGAAACTCAACATTCTTATCTATTATTGTTATAACACAGGGCTATTTTGCCTATCTGTATATTTCAGAAAGGGTTACGGTAACATGGTTAGTTATTTAGCCATTGTATATTTGTATGTTTAGGGTAGTAATTTTGTTAGTGCCCTAAAGTGGAGTGTACTAAATTTATTAATTAGTCGAATTTAGACGAGTAAAAGGTAAAAAAATGAAAATAAAGTGTGATTGATAAAACAAAAAATAACGCCTAGCGTATGGTAACTTTGAAGTTCTTTATATATGATTGCAATTATCCATGGACATGCTCACAAAATCGGAGGTATAAATAGAAATAGGCAATAATGCATAACTTCAAACTATAGTATCCATCAATATACCAGAGATCCACGCCAATTATCTGGTCTTAAAGTAGAGAATTCTCTGTACTAAATTCACTCCAGGATTCTATCCAAAATGCAGTCACCGAATTGGTCTCTTTCTCTAGCGGCCATGGTGTTAAACGTTGAGCCGCCTCTACCTATTTGCCAAGTTTTATTGAAATCGGTTACCGGAAAGTGCGCGGAACCGGATTCATCTCCTAATTTGCGAGGTGAACTAGAGGTGGAATATTTTCTTCAAATTTAAACGGAAAAAATCAGCGAAATCGGTTCACAAATGTCGGAGTTATCGCGTAACATACACGAAAAAAAGTTGAAATGAGAACCTCCTTTTTTGAAGTCGGTTAAAAAGACAGCAATATAATAAATTATATTATTAAGCACATAGGTACCAAGTTTGGTATTAGTTTTATTTATTACATGTCCTTTAATCAAAGTGAATCTTCGCATTATTTGTTGGAAAATTCTCTTTCAATTTTATTGGCTACATTTGTAACTACACAGGACAATAGAAATAACTTAGGACCTTATGCGCATGTAAAGCATAGAATCTCAAATAAACCTCGTGCTATTTAGTATGATAAATTATTATATCTTTTCGCAATTACTATTATGCGAATACGCTTAAAATGCGATTAGAAACATATTTGTGTATTTTGTCCTTTATACAATAAATAAATAAAAAAAAAGAAGTTATTTTTAAACAGGGCCGAATTTAAACAAATATCCGACTTAATTGCCGCCCACTTTTAGAAGTGAATCAGAAAATAATTTACTGGTAATTTAAATTACAAGGTTTAATAAAACAACTAAAATTGACGTTAACATATAATCAACAACATATTTTCTAAATATTACTGTTAATGATACACCTATAGAGTTAAATATGCAAGCTCTTGCGGTCGACGATGCCATAATTAAGTAAGCTGCTTTACTTTACTTTCTTTTATATTTCTACTGAAGTAAAAAATATCTAATATCATTTATTTACACTTATATATACGAGTATACTTCGCATGTAGCCTACAGACAGAGAAAAAAAAGTAACAAGAAAGGTCACTCTCCGCCCCTCCCTAGCTTTAGATACTGCACCGCACCCCGCATATTGACGGAACACGGAACAAGGTTGTCAGCGAGCCGTCGCTAAGAACAACTTTCACGTTTAAACAGTTTAAATTTATCTACTACGAACGCACGTTACTATATAATGGTCGCGAATTGTGCCATGTACGACTTTTTATCTTCATCTATATAAATGAGATAAAGGGGAGTTTCTTTCGTTATGTTTAAACAGTTTAAATTTATTTATTACGAACGTACTTTACTATATGATGGTCGTAAATTGTGTCATGTAAAGCTGTTTATCTTCATTTATTTAAATAAGACAAAGAGAAGTTTCTTTCGTTAAAAAAACTTTTTATTACATATCGAATTTTCAATACATATAATGTGATTTCATAATAGATACATTCGTTTGTTTAATATGCCGCTCTTACAAAATCTCTGCGCACGGTAAATCAAGAGAATAAATAGCACGACTAAGTCATGGGTAACCCAATCACTTAACGCACACATTTACGCGTGTACAGATAGCGCTCCTTTTTCAAAATTGTGTAACACAAATAGATAAATAAATGGATAGATACGAGCCAAAAATCAGGTCGCGCGTCTTCCGGAGAATTCGCGCGCAAACTAGGGAATTCCCACAACTACCGTATCGTATCTAGTTTGTACGTTACATAATAGACATAAATAAAGTTATTTTCGAACAGAACATAAAGATAATTAAGCTATGTACAATTTCGATACAATAATTCGCTTCCTTTCCGTGGCGATATGGGCTACAGGCCAAATTGGCCCTTATTCCTTAAACAGACCTAGGGTTGCCTACATTTAAAAAAAATATCATTATAAACAACTTCCTGTATAACAAACTACTAACTGAAACACAAATAATTCGCAACAAAGCATATTCTTTTGGAAAATATATAATGTCAAGACGTTTATACGAGGACTGGACAGTCTTTAATCTAAGGTTTCCTACAGAAAGGCTTATCGAATCTATTACAAATCGTTTGCAATGTCGCTGAGGTAATTGCTTCCATTTTTCTAAAGTATCGGTTAAGTGGTTAAGTAACTATTTCTACACCGTTACGTAAATTTGATCAAAGAAAATATTCAAATGTTTCTCTAACTCGATTGGGCGTTATGAACGCAACAACTGTCAGAAGTGAAGATCGCTGATCTGTAGCCGACCCTGGGGATTATGGCAAATTATAATTGAATGTTCTGTAGTGGTCACTTACAGGTGGATGCGGGGTGTGGTAGTGTGGCGGGGTGTGGTATCTGGTCAACGCCCGCTCTGCTTCTGGTCCGCCTTCTTTGATCAGCGGTCCGGCCGGCTGGTAATATCCTGTAGACAATAGAAAATACTCCATTCGTTATTTGTTTCTAATAAAAAATAGGAAAGAGAAAGACAAATAAAATATTTAGTGACATTGTCTCTTCTTTTTAATAATTCTTTATTTTAATTAACTATATCTATGTACTAGTGTACTTTTAATTCAGTTTGATTCGCAACTGTTTCGCAACTGTTTTCGCAAGGCTGTCAACAAAAAAATCCTCATAAAAAGGGTATTATAACTATAACATATATCGTCGCCTTACTTTCTCAAACTCCTATCTTAAAGCACAAAGTTACTGAAATGCATTGTATTTCACATCACATTTGCATCATATTCACACACTGGCTTTTACCTATTCTTAAAGTAATGCATCCAAATTAGCACCCTTGATAAGAAATTTAAAATAAATAGAAAGTTTTGCCATTTCCTGAATAATCACTCTGTATAAGATACGAGTTTGAGAATGTAAGGCATCGATATTGTCATTTTTGGTAATAAACAGCTTTGAATGTTCAAAGAAAAATCCTTTCGGAACTGATTGTGAAATGGATGAAAGTAAATATTACAAAATAAAACACAGAAAAAAAGGAATGTTCACAATTTAAAAATAAGTTAGGTACTGCTTTTACGGAAAGTCGTGAAAAGAAATAAGGCGGCAATACAGAAAAAGTTCATAGCGCGAGAAACGTACAAAAACAGCTGATGTTCCCACCGAGAACGCTAACCAAACAAGGCGTTTGCTAATTAAATAAAAAAGAAATTAAAAATATTTATGTTGTCGACAACAGCTGTCAAGGATGTGGTCAGCCACAAATCGCGATACGGTGACGAGAACCTAATAATGGGCTTTGTTGTGAAGTAGTTAGATACAATAAGAAGTTACATACGTACTTGTTATACAATATTAAAATACTTGTAAACTGGTATTCTTGTTACATAGGGGAATTATGTTCTTATTCACATTCTACCACAGACCGAATGGCCGATACAGTATCAATCAGTACCAATCTCTTTCATAGCAACTCTTTTCTAATTATGCATATTTTTTCGAATTGTGTTAGGGCCTAGCTGTAGTCTCATAAGGAGAATCTTGTAATTCTCTATTCTTGCGTTCTCCTGATGCTACTTGTAGCATCTTTATATTTTTTTAAATGCTTCAAATTATAATACACAAATTAGTCGTGTAATAAATTAGTTAGCCATTAAACCGTGCGCAGCGCTAGTGTGCCTATATACCGTTATCGAGAGTAGAGTTGCGAAGGCGGTAGGCGGCCTTAATTCGGACGTACACTCCAATGTGACGCCTCTCACTGTGCGTATCATAGTTCGATTTGTAGTTCATAGTTTGATCGGTTTCGAATAATTGTAAAAAGAAATTAAATATACAGTCACAAATGAAGTAAATCAATAATTTTCAACAATTAACGTGCGTACAAATGCGGTAGTTACGAACTTTGGTAGCTAAATATTAGTATTTAACATAAGTTTAATTTTTAACAAATTACTAAAGTATGTTGGAGAAAACAGAAATTCAGCATACTGAAATATCGTTAACAAGTGGTAGGTATCGTAAGAATGTGTCACAATTGCCGCCCATAAACTAAAACACATAAACATTACACACTCTAGCCACTGTAAAGAGTAAAAAAATCACAATTTGCGTTGCAAAGGGCCTAAGGAAGCAGGCAGTTTGCCTTGAGCCCACAAGACAGCTGCGTTGACCAAGGGGGCTATTTCTGACCACTTTTTGCACTTATTTATTTGTTTACCGGTTTTATTGTGATCTTACGGGATGAGTTGCTACGCTAAGATACTTCTGACTTTAGTACGGAAAAGCTTTTAACGATCAATTTTCTCAACTAATTGGCATACTCTCCCTTTATCGTCAAATAGGAGTTCAATTGGGATATTAAAACTTTTTGGAGTGTTGCAAAATCCACCTGTCATAATAGCATAAACATAAGAGAAGAAAGTATTTAAATGCAGTATTAAATTTTTTTAAATGAAGAAATTGTTGAAGATTTGGCTTGATGGATTTATTTTGATGCTGTAAAACCAATATTGAAACAAAAAGTTTGTTGTGATGCAAAAAAATTATCTGTTATTCTTGTGTGAGAAAAAAATGGCGGGTTTTTAATTTTTAGTTTAAAATAATTATGACGTTTTGAGTTTCTTAAATATTTGTTACTTATTTAAACCGATGGCTCTGTAGCCAGCGATAGCTAAATAAATTAATAAAATATTCTTGTGAGACGTTCAAAATATTATACTTGAAATGCAATGGTAATGTTGCATAATGTTAAATAAATATATGGTAATGTTGAATTAAGACGGCAGAGAATGATGTAGGTACGGAGAAAAAATAACAGATAAGTAAAAATGTAAAAAGAGTCAATTAAGAATCTATTGAAGCAGTGTGCATAATGATAAGCCACTAATCGGTGAACAAACACGGCGTGGCGAACCGGTTAAGCTAACCGATCAATTAGCGACACCGAGCAGGCAATTAAGTTCGCCGCACACCGCACGCAAAAAGCGCGCAAGTTTGTGCTCAGACCGCCTCAGGCATTTGGAATTTTATTAAGTATTTTAAAGATGCAGTTGGAATTGTGATTTAGTTCGATATTTTGTCGGATTTAATTTGAAATCTATTTATTTTCACCTTGCTTTTACACAGGTACATAATATTATTTAATGAATTGTATACATATTTCACGGATATTTTTGTAGTAGCCAGTTGATTTCATAGTTTCTCGATATTGATATTTTTTGTTATTCAAATTTAAAAAAGCAGTTAAACGCTCTTTATCTTTTACTTTTTAAATTTTAGTTGTGGACGAATCTAACTTCCTTGGCTCTTTGGAAAAGGAAGGACATTACTAATTTTATTCATAAAGAATACTTAGAGAAATTCCGTCTTATTCGGGCTTAGGTCCCAAAAGGAATCAAAAGTCAAAATTTCATGATATTAAGTTTAGGAGTTTCCGCTGTGTGTAGATATGTTACTCAGGACTTGTTCTTTTGTGGATAGGTAGGTATGTTTTGATAAGTTCTTATTCCTAATGTCATTATATTACTAAAGTAATTACATAGGAAAAGAAACTATTTCTTTGTTCTTAATCACGTAGGTTTTGTTTTTCAAACAAATCAACGTTTCGGGCATTTTGCAGGTACTATGGTCACGGCTAACTAAAGCGATCAAGTCATCAACCAGTGATGTCGATTGATGCAAATCACCCAATTTTTCACTACAGATTATACCTTATTTTTAATTTAACAACAATTCAATTTACGTTATACATACGTTTTGCAAAATATTATATTTTAACAATAATAGTTTAAATTCCTGTATCGTCCCTTAGACAACACTTACACAACACGGCTGAAATCGAAAATAGGAGGTTTTGACTTTTTGAAATGCTCAAGTCACAATAAAACTAGAATATCAATAAATTTAATATAACCAATATATACAACTATTGATATCCATAAATGGAGTTATTACACAACAGCTTAAAAATCTTGTATACAATAACAGGAATCACGCAGTTTTTTCACTCTCCTTTAAAATTGCTCGGGCATCTCCTTTAAAATTATTTGGGCGGCGTTGTTTGCCAAGAGACGATATGTAACAATCTGCTAAAAAAAAATTAATGACAGATAGTTTTTGTCCTTTAATTAAATGAGATATTTCCTTTTCTATTGGCGGCATGTTAACGCCTTTTATAAAAATGAAGTCCGCACATTGCGGCCATAAAACGTTCAATCGCGTTGTACACCTGGCAACACTTGAGATATCTCGATGAGATGATCGTGAACCGGATCGAGTTATCGAGCAATTTGAACACATTAAACGCTAAGGGAACATTTCATGTTAGTCGTAAAAAGAAGGAAATGAGGATTAAAACTGACAGATAACATTTAAAAAATATCAATTGTTAGTTTCTCGAGCTATTTTTAACCGACTTCAAAAAAAGAAAGAGGTTCTCAATTATTTCTTTATTTCTTAAATTAAAAAAAATACACAATAATTTATTTTTACAATGAACTTGTGCAGGTACATTGCAATTTAGTTGCGACAAAGAACCAGGTAACACAACTCAATTGTAGCGTGTATCGCGTACAGAGAGTTTCCTACGACTCCTGCACTAGGCAAAGCCTGTCTCGCATTCGCATTTTGTATGTATGTTACGCGGTAACAGCATTTCGTAACCGATTTTGATGATTCTTTTTTATTGGAAAGAGGGTACCTCAGTAGTGGTCCGATTTAAATTTGAAGAATATATTCCACCTGGAAGGGTGGCAAACTAGGGGATGAATCAGGTTTCGCGCACTTTCCGGTAACCTATTTCAATAAAATTTGGCAAATAGACGTAATTCCACGAACTTCTGAGGTTGGTTTTTTTAGTACTCTGTACTGAGATTATCTAGTATATTTATGGAAAGGACTACATTAAAAATCATGACAGTGACTCTTTGTTTTATAGTGCCAATGATATATCTTTGTTTCGCCGTAAATTCTAACCAGGCCCCTGGTTAAAATCTCTGGAAGCACGAAATCCGTTTCCAAGTTCTCCCACTCCGGATGACGTGCAGACTTGTGTTTCCATCGGGACTAGAACTAAGAATGTATGACAACGCGATTTGACAGTTTCGGACGGGCACGTCTTTTCGCAGTAGAAAAACTGCCGTAACTACGGATTTCGTGCTTCGAGAGTAGAGCCCCACCATTGGGCCAATACGGTAGACAGGCAATTGTTCACCGTGTCTCCTTAGTGGAAATTCAAAGAGTTGATGTTGTACTACAATCCCATGCCTGGTCAATTACGTGAATTAATTAATTGATATGCTTACTTAAATTGTGAAGCAAATATTTTCAAATCTCGTTTATCCTAGTTTATATCTCAATTAAATTCTAAATTTACTACACTGCTAAAAATGTAAATGGATACAAAATGATAATAAATAAATAATAATAATAATGACGGTAGATACTGAATTTAATACA